GTGACAGTGCCTCCGGAAACAGCGGTAGTTTTGGCCCGAGTCCGTGAAAAGATGAGCGGTCCCTACTCCAGAAGCGAAGACAAAACGTGCACATATCTAGTCGCCATAGACGCGAAAGGAGACATCGCGCGGGACGCATTCGAAGTCAATGAGGAAGCAGGCCCTGAAGATGCGAGAACATGCGAGACGATGAAGACCCCCTGGGACCGCCGAGAATTCTAGCAGGCAATCGTTGAGTCCGTCAGAGCATCCAACCGACGCGGGTGATGTCGGCGAAAATCCCCAAAATCGGAGGGCTGCAACGCTGGGGGCGAAAAGACTCCGGCCGTGCAAGGAGGGCGGAGCCCACCCGAACCGACCTCCGGTGTAGACGACGAGTGATAGTTGCGCCCGCAAGCCCAAATGAGGAAAACACCCGCTTGATCGACACCATCAATGCAGTCGGGGCCGGTTTTGTCCGTGTCTTGTGCTGGTAAAGGCAACCGCGAAAGAAAATCCGCGTTTCCGTTTGCCGAACTTTTTCGATATTTCAGGGTGTAGGTGAAGTTGGACAGGAATTCGAGCCATCGTTGCACCCTAGTGTTGTGTTCCCCAATCTTGCCAATGCTCTCCAAGGCTTTGTGGTCCGAATAGATGATGAACTTGGTCGACCACAGATAACCGCGAAGGCGTTTGATGGCCCAAACAATGCCACCAGCCTCCAGATCCAAAACGGTCAAATTACGCTCCTTGTAACAAGAAGAGGACGGCTGTTGTCCTCGATTGCTGCCCAGTCCGGGAAGACCAAAATCGGGGGGCGAGCGAGTTCGCTTAACAAAGTTTTGACAACCTTGACCATGCCCGGGGTGTACTTGAAGGGGACGCCTTGTTTGAGAAGAGAGTTGAGAGGCCGCACCTGGGTGGCGAGGTTCTTGAGGAATTTCCGGTAGTAGCTGAGTCCACCGAGAAGGCTCCGAAGCTGCTTAACATTCGTCGGCGGCGGCATGTGCGTGAGCGCCCTAACCTT